TCTAAACTTGAAACTTGTTTAAACTAGAAACCTGTCTAAACTGAACCCTATGTAAACTACAAACCTGTCTAAACTAGAAACCTGTCTAAACTGAACCCTTTGTAAACTACAAACCTGTCTAAACTGACTTCTTTGTAAACTAGAAACTTGTCTAAACTTAGAAACTCGTCTAAACTTAGAAACCTGTCTATACTAGAAACCTGTCTAAACTAGAACCCTGTGTGAACCTGTCTAAACTGAACCCTGTGTGAACCTGTCGAAACTGAACCCTGTGTGAACCTGTCGAAACTGAACCTTTGTAAACCAGTAATATGTGTAAACTGAACCCAGTCTAAACTACAAACCTGTCTGAACTGAACCCTGTCTAAACTAGAAACCTGTCTAAACTACTAACCTGTCTGAACTGAACCCTGTCTAAACTAGCAACCTGTAAAAACTAGAAACCTGTCTGAACTGAACCCTGTCTAAACTAGAAACCTGTCTGAACTAGAAACCTGTCTGAACTAGAAACCTGTCTAAACTAGAAACCTGTCTAAACTAGAAACCTGTCTAAATTGAACCTTGTGTGAACTACAACCCTGTCTGAACTGAACCCTGTCTAAACTACAAACCTGTCTAAACTACAAACCTGTCTGAACTAGAAACCTGTCTAAATTGAACCCTGTCTTAACTATAAACCTGTCTAAACTGAACCCTGTGTGAACCTTTCTAAACCGAACACTTGTAAACCAGTAACCTGTCTAAACTGAACCCACTGTAAACTGTACTCCGTGTAATCCAAGAACCTGTCTAAACTTTTTTTTTCATATCAGTTTAAAACAAATCATATTCTCCGTTTGTTATGAAGTATTAGGCAGTTTACATAGTCAGATAAATAATAATTAAATACAGTCTTCAAAAGAATGCAAAAATCTTTCATTCCAAAATTTTATAATAAAAGATAACAAACTTTAAAAGTAAGAAAAATAATGAAACAATTTAGAAACATTGATGAAATTTGGGAGAAAAATGAGTAGCCATCTGATTTCATTACTGACGCAAGTCAGTGTCTTTAGCTGGAATTTGTAGATGGTTTTGGTTTACGGTTGTTGGGCCTCTTTGCTATAGTCTTAGCGCTATGACATCCATTCTATAACTAGAGTTATGGAATGCCAAACGTATAGTGGCGGCAGTGGATACATACCTCTGTATATTATACATCTGTTCATCTTAGATATCTCATTACACTCGCTGCTTGCAGACATGTTTTTGTGGTGCGACACAAACCTTTTTCTTCTGGAATTTGTTTATTTTGAGAGATTTCCTTCACCTGTTTGCCTTCACTGGTTTGTTTCGTTACAGGTTTCTCAGGAGTTTTCAGTTTCGCTTCATTTTTGTTTTGTGTTTTTGTTTTTGTTTCAGTATTGCCATGAATAGACAATATGAGAAGCATCATGAGGCTCCCACACACCATCTCTCGTCCAAATCAACGCAAGAGGCACCGCTGTGGTTTCATGGTCTACTTGCGAGGGAAGCTGCCGAAGATTTGTTGCTTAAGTCACCGAATTCCAAGCCTGGTCTTTACTTAGTTCGGCAAAGCAGCAATCGTGGAGGTCAGTTTTGTGTCAAAACATTATTTCTGCAACTTCTTTAAATAATTTTGGATTTCAAATTCAATAGAGTGAATTGACAGTCAAGATTTAATTGGTTTTGAGGAAGGAAATTATATACACAATTTTTGCTTTTCCCACCCAAAGTGTCAGAAATGTGTTTACCTTCTTCTCTCCAGCTGGGTTGCTAATTAATATATCTATTAACATCAGTATAAAGATAAGAATGCCTCATATTAGAATTAATTTGGAAAATGGAATCATAAATTGACTCCCACTATTAGTTTTGATTATATGAAATCTCTATTCTCAAAAACACTAATTGATTTAATGAAATCTCTATTCTCAAAAACACTTTCTATATTTGATTCTCAGCCCAACATTAGGTAATTTTTAATTCTCACAAAAAATGTATGTAATTCCCTCAGAAATACTGGTATTATATTATATTGTCAACATCCCAACATTAGAATTGCTTCTCAACATCCCAACATTAGAACTGCTTCTCAACATCCCAACATTAGAACTCCTTCTCAACATCCCAACATTAGAATTCCTTCTCAACATCCCAACATTAGAATTGCTTCTCAACATCCCAACATTATAATTGCTTCTCAACATCCCAACATTAGAATTGCTTCTCAACATCCCAACATTAGAATTGCTTCTCAACATCCCAACATTAGAACTGCTTCTCAACATCCCAACATTAGAATTGCTTCTCAACATCCCAACATTAGAATTCCCTCTCAACATCCCAACATTAGAATTGCTTCTCAACATCCCAACATTAGAATTGCTTCTCAACATCCCAACATTAGAATTGCTTCTCAACATCCCAACATTAGAACTGCTTCTCAACATCCCAACATTAGAATTGCTTCTCAACATCCCAACATTAGAATTGCTTCTCAACATCCCAACATTAGAACTGCTTCTCAACATCCCAACATTAGAATTGCTTCTCAACATCCCAACATTAGAATTGCTTCTCAACATCCCAACATTAGAATTGCCTCTCAACATCCCAACATTAGAATTGCTTCTCAACATCCCAACATTAGAATTGCTTCTCAACATCCAAACTTTAGAATTCCTTCTCAACATCCCAACATTAGAATTCCTTCTCAACATCCCAACATTAAATTCCTTCTCAACATCCCAACATTAGAATTCCTTCTCAACATCCCAACATTAAATTCCTTCTCAACATCCCAACATTAAATTCCTTCTCAACATCCCAACATTAGAATTCCTTCTCAACATCCCAACATTAGAATTCCTTTTCAACATCCCAACATTAGAATTCCTTCTCAACATCCCAACATTAGAATTCCTTCTCAACATCCCAACATTAGAATTCCTTCTCAACATCCCAAAATTAGAATTGCTTTTCCTTCGATTTTCAAAACTTCATCCTGAAGCCATATTTTGCCTGTAAATGACTTTTAATAACAGGATGTATCCTGTCAGTCTCCAATGGTGGGTGGGTGGGCATAAAGTTTGTTGTTCTTCTCCTTTATGACTTGTATTAGGCTCTAATGTTTGATGTTCCAGTCAAAATCTATGTAAACATTTCCAATTTAGAAGCAAACACCCGTTGGCTGTTAACAGAACATGAACACATGGAATGGCTAATTAATTGGCTATGCTTTGAATTCTTGCTGGTTAGCCTCAAGGTCACTATAAAATAGAAGAGAGGCCAATGAAGATGATGTCCTTTCGCTAACATTTTAGTTCCTGGTTATGACAATTACCTCACACAAGTACAGAAGATATATTAAAGTATATAAAAAGCTGTTATCTAATATTTTGTTATATTTATACATACTATCACTGTCATTTCAGGGATGAACCATTATTTCTTTAGAGGGAAGAATAAATGGGAAACAAAAAAATCAACATGACATTATTTAGTTTATTATTTATTATTATTTAATATTTACTCCCTAGAAGCCCTGTATCTGATGATCTGAGGACTTTCATTTTACATTAATTGTAACCGAGTCTCCCCCCCCCCCCACCCGCAAAAGAAATTGGCCCACTCTATAATGGCTCTTTTTTTTCTGGGTCATGTCACATAAAGTTTATCAATATGGGCACTTTGCTTATTATGGTGCTGCTGGCTCATTTACCATCATTCCGTTGAGTGGGCTGCAATTTATTTTAATTGCATATTTTATGTTGGCTTTTAAGTTTTAGGTTATTAAGACTTCCAGATTGGCAGATGTTTTTTACATAACACCCTGTTTTGTACTCAAATATCTTTCAAACATTTTTCATTTCAAACTGTCCCATAAACTTTGATCGTTATTTCTGAATTTACATTTTGTACAAGTTTTCCCAACAAATATTAACACTACAATATTAAATATTGACCTAAAAAATTCTCAGTAAAATATTAGCAGTGATTGTCAACAAAATATGGTGGCAACACATTGTATTTTAATAATAAGACTTTATTAGATTTGGATGTATATTTTTAAAGAGGTTTAAACTAGAGTAACAATTATTACCCAGGGTTCAATGGGAGTCTTGAATATCCTAAAATAATCTTTAATCTTGAGAAACTCTAAAATGTGAGTAATCTATTCCTGAGGTTTTCAACGATGACTTTGAATCTGTTTTGTAATAGTGTGTCACTAAAGCATTTCTTAAGTGCATAAAAACGCACAAAGTTATTTAAACTGGCATGTGTAGCTGTTATCCCAATTGAGTTTCTCAAATCCTGTCATAAAATGACGTAATATTCATCATCAAAATAAATGAAAGAATTTATGTGACCAAGATAATGCTCAAAATGCATGGAGGTGATTGCCCAGATCTGAAAACCGTAATGGCCTTTTAAATAAATAGTCAATTATTTCTTTCAGTTTTAATCACTTTAAGGAATTTTTTATTAAAATTATATTTCAAGCATTCATATAATATTAAGAGTTACATGTCATTTTCTTGTTTTCAGGCCGTTTTGTGATATCAGTCTGTACAGGAGAACATGTGAATCATTATCTAATAGAGACTTTGGAATCAATGTTTTATGTGAAAAGGGACAGTAGTCAAGACCGGGGACAGGATATTCAAGCCAGGGACTTAAATCATTTACTTAATTGTTATACACTCAATCCTTTGGACTCATCAGGTAATAATGTCTTTCTCTTTTTAATGTGTGTGTTATGTTCAACATAATTATGTTCTGTACATGATGTATTTGTGTTGTAAATGAAAGTTCAACATAATTATGTACTTTGTGTCAAACATAATTTATTAAATATGTCCTTTACGTAGTATGTGTTATACATGAATATTATATTCAACATAATTATGTTATATATGTAATGTATTTGTGCTAGAAATGAACATTATGTTCAACATAGTTATGTTCTCTATGTATTGTATTTGTGCTATAAATTATTTTCAACATAATTATGTTCTATATGGTACATTTATGCTATTACCGGTAATGAACATTATTTTCAACATAATTATGTTCTATATGGTACATTTATGCTATTACCGGTAATGACATTATTTTCAACATAATTATGTTCTATATGGTACATTTATGCTATTACCGGCAATGAACATTATTTTCAACATAATTATGTTCTATATGGTACATTTAAGTTATTGATTTATTTTGTCATACTTTGATTAAAGCAGGACTTCAATGAGTATATTTCATATTTTTAAAAATAAACACTAGAAACTGAATACAAACAGATACTAGAGTCGGGTTTTAATTTAAAACATCTTGGGTGGTCGGATATGGTTAATACTTTTATTTATTTTTAGCTCAACTGAGTGTTTGTTAAAATGTCTACATAGTTTTGATACCCAGCTTTGTAATTTGGTAAAGGTTAAATGTTAAATCAGATATGTTATAAAATAATATATAATTATTTATGAATTCATTAATTCTTTGAAATTAATTTCCTGACTTTCATCACATGAAGTGATTTTTTTTAATATTACTACAGCTGCTACACTGTAACACTGATTTTGAGAAGCAAAAAAAAACTGATTTTCATAGTTTCAGCTGTGATGTAGCAAACATTTTCTTTTCCACTGCAAACTGCTTTACAGTAAAATTTCATAATTCATAGAAAATTTTTAAGTATAACATGGTGGCAATTGCTCTGTCAAAATCAGTAAGAAAACATAATTTTTTTAAAACTGAGTGTGGAAAAAGTATTTAACACCTTTCATGGTAGCAGTCATTGTCTAAGTACAGTTACCCATTCCTACCCCATTTACAATGGTAACAATAGCCTTTGTAATTTATTTATTTATACAGAAAAGTAAAACGATGTCAGATGACCAAGTATCATGACTTAACAGTCAAATTTTGGGTATTTGAGAAGAGATTGGCTTGAACTTGACTTCAAAAATAGAATTATACATTGGTGGGGATGTAAAGTAATATTAAAAACAAAATTAATTAATGCTAAAAAAAATAGTTAATTCATAACTAGGAAAAAAATGGATGGATTCAATTAATCAAAAAGCTTAGACCATTTTCTGTTGGTTTCGCTCAGTTACTAGACAGATAAGTTCGAAAATGTTCAAAATTAAAAAAGAAACATTAAAAAGACGTCATGCAAGCCGGATATCTGTCACGCCCACACACTTGGATTTTATAGAGAAGCCATTTGGCTGATGAGTGTTAAAACGTGTTTCGTTCATTCACAGCTCTGTGCTATTGCCTGTTATCTGAAAGACTTCACTGTTAAATGAGGAAAAGACCCTAACCCTTAGTTGGATAGATAGAAAGATCTTGAGTTAAGATACACCCACATATTTCCAGTTCATTAAAATGAGCCATTTTGTTGTAACGAAGAGTAAATTAAATGAGCTCAACAAAAGTCAGTCAGTCAGTCTGCTTTGAACAAAATAGAAATCAGTCTTATTTGGTAGAACCCATTCAGCTTCATTAATTCTTTAAAGCGGAAACTTACCTTTCACAAAATAAACTCACATATTTATTTTTTTCAAAATTTTTTATTAGGACTTGTAACCAATAGTAAATTATGTCCATTTTATCCAATATTAACAAAATAAATTATTGGAAATATATAAAAAATATTGGTAGGAAGTTAAAGTTGTACAGCTTTTTTTTGTTTATGTGACCAAAAATAAATTGAATTCTTGCACAACTCATTAGGCCAAGAGAAAAACAAATTTCTAGTTATTTTTTCTCTGAAAGCGACACATAATGATGGTCACCTCATTACAGGATATGGCTAGAAACATGATGATGGTCACCTCATTACATGATATGAGTAGAAACATGGTGGTGGTCACCTCATTACATGATATGGCTAGAAACATGATGGTGATGGTCACCTCATTACATGATACGGCTAGAAACAGGTGTTCATCAACAGGAAATGGCACTTTCAATCAGACTGTTAAATTTAAAATTACATTAACATTGCGTTTTAATGATAAGCAAAGTAATTGGATTCTTGGGAGTGGGTACACCGGATGAAGCGGTCAATTAACCTCAGATGTGTCTCAGTATAGATAATACATCAGCACTCCCTGATGTCCTATATGTCATTGTCACTTTCATTTAGAGGGAGGAGGAGGGGTTTCAATCAAATATGTTTCATCTTCTGCGTTATTAGATAGATTATTTCTTTTTTTACAAATTTGTAATAATAATTGGATTAATATCATATTGTCTCATTATAAATATTTGCTAGTCACACTATTACAGAGTTTTATTATCTTGATTGCCGTCAAACATTAAGCATTTTACAGTACTTTTATACTTGGAATTATATTTTTGCTGTAAAAAATTAATTGCCCCAGAGATTACAATTTTTCACTGCTATGTATATGAGATAAAGTGTGAAATGTTAAAACCTTGATTTGATAAATCAATCTTGAGTTAATGTACATACACCCACATATTTCCAGTTCACTAAAGCAAACTATTTTATAGAAAGTAAGAATAAATTAAAAATGGTTCAATTTTATCTTTTTGAAATGCCTGTTAAAAAAATGGTATCAATAAAAATATACAGTTTATTCAGAGGATTTTATCAAGCAAACCTAAGAGTTGTGTATATATGATGCCGATGATCATTGAAATTTTACAAGATTTTGACGCTTGCTTCTTATGACATGAACATTTTAATTTTCAAGTCTTCTGAACTAGCATAAACCAAGTTTTAATATAGAGATTCAGGTTAAATTGAAGATTAAGTCATAGTCTTTCATTATTGTGGATTTAATAATACCATTAGTCTTTCAGAAAAAAAAATTTTTTTTTTTTAATTTTGGT